AGGGAGCAGGCCGCCTGCTCGAGGGCAGATCCACAAGCTCCTGCGGCTGTGGGGGGTGAGGCGGGGCCTCAGGAGGAGGCCGCGAGGGAGGTCTGTCCACGCCACGCGGGCCCTCAGCCTCGCTGGTCCCTCCGGTTCGCAGGAGATGCAGTTCGTGTGGCGAGGGTCCCAGTCCCTGGCGGAGCAGCAGGAGATCTTCACGCACGTCCTGGACTTTTACGGCTACTGCTCGTGAGCGCTCGCCGTGCCAGGCCCCTCTAGGCACTGTCCCTGTACGGCCTCAGCGGTGACCCCCCCACCCCGCACCCCGGAGGGAGACGCACCCAGTGCCCATGTCACACCACGAGAAACTGAGGCAGAGCCACTCGGCCAAAGGTCCCCGTGGTTAGCGAACATTCGGAGCAGCTTTGGTTCAGGCGCCAGCTCCCAGGCCTCGTGTCATGGGTACAGCCAGCCCCTGTGTACCCGCGAGGCCGGGCACAGGTGGCCGTCCCTCTGTGAGTAGGAGAGGCCAGCAGGCAGGCTGGAGGGGCCGCTGGGAGAGGGACGCCGTGGGCTCACTGCCGGCGTGGCCGTGGGTCAGGCCCGCTCCGTGCCCGGCACGGTATCTCGCGGTTTCCCACCAATGATTGTCATTGAATCCTCACCACGGCCTCCAGTACGTGTTACCCACGAGATCCTGGGCTGGCCCGGGACCCCAGGTGCCTCCGTGCTGCCCAGCGAGGCAGGTGCCAGGCTCCTTCTCAGGGTCAGAGCTGTGCCAAGCGTGGGGGCCGGGGTGGAGGGAAAGTGCCGATGCGGTGTCTGCCTTTGTTGAACACCGCGAGGTTTTGCTCACCAGGATTGTTCCGGCCTTCATTTTATTTTCTGAAACATTGCGTTAAATCTCGTTACTGGTGACACTGAGACTGGAGCTTGAGGGGCCTGCTTCCCTGGCCATGGCCCTGCACCCCGTTTTGCAGGCTCGGAGGTGCCCAGGGAAGGAGTGATTCCCTGTGGTGGAGGGGACGCAGTGGCTGTAGGCTCCATGGGAAGCTGCTGACGTGGGCCCAGGGAGGGGCGGCCTGGACCGGAGCCCCCTCTGTCCGCACAGCTCCTGCCTGCCCACCCCTGGCCTGCCCGTGGCGCTGGTGGGAGATGGGGTCACCGAGGAGAGTCTGCAGGTCCTGAGCTGCCCCATGGACTGCCTGAGCCCTGCCAGGGCCCGGGGACCCCAGGCTGCTTCCCTTCTTGGGGTGGGGCCCCCTAACCTTTCTCTCTCCCGCAGGGTAGGGTATTCCTGGGAAGGCGAGGCCCTGTTGCTAACACAATTCCAGAACGAGGAACACAACAACCTGAATGACCCCGTCACTGTGAGCAACATCGGAATGTACGTGGAGAGGTTTGTGTTGGACGTGAAGTCGAGGGCCAGTTTGTATCGGACCCCGCACATCCTCTGGCCCTGGGTAAGCGGCTCCCAGGCCCTGGTGTCCGCCTCACAGCCACTCTGGGCTCGTGTTCCCCTCAAACCGGGCCGGGCTGCCACCTGCCCACCCTGGGCCTCACCCCACCAGCTCCTTCCACACCCTGAACTCACCCAGCCTCTCCCCTGAGGCACAGCCCCTCGCCCGCGCCCGCCTCAGGCTCCCACCAGCTCTCTCCAACTTTTTCACTCGTGACTGCCTCTCTTGTTTTCTTTTAGTGCCATTTTTGTTGGTTTGCTCTTTTTATTTGTAATTACCTTTTTCTACAGGTGCAGGCATAAAATAGTTTATGAAAAATAGTTTTTGAAAAAAAATTTTTTGAAAACTATATAACTCCATACATGATGTCAACAGGCCACTTGTACGACATATTTGATCTAATATATATATAAAACTTTATTTTTATTTATTTATTTTTTGGGGGGCATTATAATCTTTTTTTAATTTTTTTAAAATTATTAAATCTTTATTGTTCAGATTATTACATTTGTTCCTCTTTTTTCCCCCCATAACTCCCCTCCACCCAGTTCCCACCCCACCCTTCGCCCTCACTCCCCACCCCCTGTCCTCTTTCATAGGTGCACGATTTTTGTCCAGTCTCTTCCCGCATCCCCCAAACCCCTTTCCACCCCAAGAATAGTCAGTCCATTCCCTTTCCATGTCCCTGATTCTATTATATTCACCAGTTTATTCTGTTCCTCAGATTATTTATTCACTTGATTTTTAGATTCACTTGTTGATAGATGCGTATTTGTTGTTCATAATTT